TGTGCTGAGAAAAGAGGAGGTGCCGACCGTGATTGGCAGGAGTGTTGAGCGGTCGGTCCGACAGCCAATCCTCGCCTCACACACAGACGGAGGAGGCAAGGCCGGAGAGCTGTACATTCAGCGGCGAGGGTAAAGGAAAGGCGGAGCCTTGAGAAGATGGGCAGGCTGGTTGGCTAATCAGCGCAAAGCCCCGGCTGACGAATACTACCGTCTGACGTTGCGTTCGCCCGGTTCCTTCGGGGCGGGGCCAAGCAGGGCTTGCGGCGGCTGCGATTGGCGGACGGGGAGGGCGCGTGAGCGGGGGTGGAGCGCGCAACGCGGAGGAAGTAAACAACCTGCCAGCGCGCAAGCGGACGTTGGGGCCGGGTGTTAAGGCGTGCGGGGGCTGTGGCGGCAGTGGGGTCACGTGTGACCCCCCCTCCCCCCTCCAGAGCGCTGTGTCTGACCCCCGGGCTGCGCCTCACTCGCCCTCGTAGACCTCATCTCTAAGCATCCAGAGCCCCTTCAGAGCCCTCATAGACTCCACAACCCCTCAAAGTCCTAACAGATTCTATCATAGCCTCCACAGCACCCACAGAACCCTCACAGCCTTCTAAGCCCTCAAAACCTCCAGAAACCCCCTCACTGCCCCCCTCATCCTCCACTTCCGGCGCTGGCAGAGGCAGCGCAGTGTTGGTGAAAAGCAGTGGGTTGCTCATTTTCGGTACACTGCTGTGTCACTGCACCCTTGTCTCGGGCTCGGGATTGCCTGGTGCCAGTCGCAGTAGGGTTTGGTACAGTGACGATCTTCGTTTCCTCTTGTTACTGCTGTGCAATCCTTTGCATGTGTGATCCGAGCACGCCACTGACATAATTCTTAGGGTTTCGGTCAAAATACAAAGAGTGGAGAGCAAATTAATTCTGTTTCACAGTTAATGGACTTTTGTATGCTGTAAAGATCTCTGCTCCATCTAGATTAATTGTATTGATAAAATACAGCGCTGGATGTTATTACATGCCTCATCATTTCAGAGGCAATGTTGGAGGCCGGGAAACCACTTCCTTTCCTCTACCCACTTCCCTAGCACTTTCTTCATCTGGTAATTCCTCTTTTTGCCAGCTCGCCTATGTCCTCACTGAAGACACAGTCCAAGTTGGTGAGCAGAGCACGTGGCAGGTCTGTGACAGCCACGTGAACCCAAGCCGTGTTCCGGTGCTGTGGTGGTGCTTAAGCAGCAGGGCAGGGTGTTGGCCGCGGATGCTGTTCCTGGTGCCTTTTCACTCTTAATTAAAGTGTCCCTGCCAAAGGTACGTTTTATTTGAATTAGGAGTTTGTGTGTACCAGTTATGTCAAGTGTAAAAAAAATCCTTTTCCTAATACAGCAGCAAAGATCATTTCCCTAGCCAGTAATTTTGATCACACACTTCTTTACTTTCTGTCTTGATTTGCTTTCCAGGTCACTCTTCGATTACCTCACCTATGGTTCATTGTGAGATGACAACTCTCAACAATTCCTAACACCAACTTCCACCACCCACTTGTTTTGTTTTGGGATAAATAGCTCCATGTTTTCTTCCATTCTGCCTCTCAGGTGTGGGAAAAGATATTTTTTGAAGTCTCCAGTAACTCAGTTTGGAAACTGACATGCTAAACCTTGTACTTGCCATATTGATTGTTAATGTCTCTTCCATTTTCTTTGTTTTTCCATAATTCTCTATTCACTACTCACTTGCAATGTGTTTAAGCTGCACTCTTTTTAGTTTATGTTTTTACATCATCTAATGTGTTATATTCCTGTACAAGATTAGAGCTCCTAAGTGTTATGGCAATACAGTAAATAAGTTGTAATTACAGAAATATAAGTATTCCCAAAATAAATTAACACTAGAAAACTGAGATTAAATATAGTTTTTAAAGCCATTCAGACATGTTGGCACAAAAATACACAACTAAACTCCCCACTAGTTAATGGTGTCATGAATTAACTATACAATTATATTGTTGATAGTCCATGTTAGAATTAAAATGGTTTATGAAGATGAATTCCTTTTATTTTTCATTATTTTCTGCCTGGTCTATCAATTAGGTGAGGCTGAGATTTCCATAATTGTTTGGGTTTCATTCTGTACTTTTACCTGGAAATTTGAAGTGGTTTTAAATGTATAGAGCAAGGTGAATTTTGTTCATTGCATGCTTATTTGGACAGGTTGCTGAAGAATATATTTGAGAAGAAGAAAGGAACACTTTTGAAACAAAGGGCTTGGTTTCTCTTTTTTGTTTATGTATTTTTTTAGTCATCAACCTCTGGGCTTGCTTGACAGTAACTATGAATAATCTATCCCTGTAAGAAGAAATTTATCACTGTTTTCTGGTCTCTTTTAAAAGTTGTTTGCTCTTACATTGAACTTAGAGTGTTTTTGCTAGGGAGTTGAGAAACCAACCAATGCATAATTAAGTAATGCAGAATTTTGGGGTGGTGGACACATGTGATCAGATCCACAGGGACCTGCAGAAATAGAATCAATAGAAATCGATTTTTCCACTGTGTTCTCTCTGGCATAAAAGGAGTGCTTAGCATTCCTGAAAACATAATTTGTTTATGTTTTCCTATGTGACTACCAAAAAATACTTACCGAAAGTACAAGCTAATCTATAATTTGCATACTCTTACTCAACTGTCATGAGTAGGAAGAACAACTATTTGTTTTCTCTCTCTTTGAATATCTATTGTGTAGAGTCTTTTGTGCAGTTGTGGAATCAAAATTACTGGTTTCCTGTAGTATTGATTTTTTATTTTTGTTGCTTATATAAAACATATTAGTATACTTGTTAATGTATAATACCCTTCCATTACTGAGATAATTGTCTGGCTGTGGGATTTGATCTAATTTTACTATCTTTTTTGTCACAAATTATTATAACTTTCACAAACTTCTGTAGGTTTCTTTCTTACCATTTCTCTGGCTACTTGTCTGGCACATAGCCATAGTTTTCTCTGTAAAATCAGTGCCCCACTTTTTGTATAGCATCAGCTTTATATTCTTCAGTTTTGCTTACAGAAACCAACATAGCTTGTATATGAAATGTTTCCTTAGCTGTGGATGCATTGTCTTTCAGAGAAATCAAGATTCCCTCCACATGTCTCTTGATCTTCACCAGACTTGAAGAACCTGTATTTCTTAGAGCTTAGTATGTTTGCTTTATGTTTCATGTGTTTGTTCTTTCTACCCTACCAAATGTCTGCATGAAGCAGGCATTGTCAAAGGCCAGAAATTTGAAACCATTTCTTTCATTATAGTTTCCATAAGTGGCTATTAAGTCTGTGATATAAAGCAATTAAACTGTTGATCCAAGTGGAGGGCCAAATTTATCATCTGTGGCTGAAGTACTAGGGAACAAGGAATGGTTTTCTGTTGGGATCTTTGAAATTCCACAGGAAGTGATATTATTCATTTAGTTAAAATATAAGAAGTAAATGGTTTTGGATGTGATGCTGCAGGATTTATTGCTCATTTCTTCTAGTTACAACAGCCTATCTTATGCCCATCCTCAGTTATATTTACAGAAGTAATTACCCTATAAAAAACAAAAAGGACATCAGTTTTGTTGAATAGTTAAACACAATCCTGGCTCAATCGTACTTGTGACATTTTCATAAAAAAAAAGGAACTGGAAAAATCACCTCTGTAGAAATTTAGAATAAAAATATCCCAGAAGTATTTAGCAACCAAAGGATGTTAAGTGAAAAGTAAGATTCAGTCTTTAATTGTATGTGTTATATTTTCACTAATCATACATTTCTATACATTTATGCAAAATAAATTAATGTAATTGTTCATAATGTGTATTTATGGCCCAAACTCTTCCTCATTTTAACTTTACATCTCCAAAGTAGCCTGCTGTCATTAACTTCTTAGCAGTTCTGCTCTCACAGTAGGTGATACAATGATTTTTACAAGAAGCAAAGTTAGCTCACAAAATCAAATAGAACTGCGGTTTGAAATTGCCAGTTAGCATGGGTTATTCTGCAGATGGCGAAACATCCCTGTCCATTGTATGTCAGTGGAATAAGAAAATTAAATTATTGTGCCATTTCTTAACCAAGATCCAGAGGACAGTAATACCCTCTGTTTAAAGTACAGATAGGGAGTTCTAAATTGTCGCTTCAGTTTGTGGCAAACTTACCCTACTTCCTTGGGCAAATCTCTCCCTCTACCTTGTTTCAATCCTGTGGTCATTTAATGGAAATAATAATCCCTCCCTTGCTCAAAATATTGTTTTTAGAGATAAAATCTGTTAATGACAAAAAACCTCACACATTTTGATATAAAAAATATATCAATTATATCTATAATATTTATTATAATTTTATGTATTGTTTATTTATATATAAATATTTCTAAATTATATGTATAAATTATATTAAATTCTTCTAAAGCCAAACTGAGAGCTTCCTTCATTCTTATGGTTGTGTAGAATCCACTGTGCACTAAGAGTCCTCTACACATGCATTTTCTGGCATAAGCTACATGGGGTCTTATTTCTCTCATCCAGGCCTTCCTTGCTGTGTTGAAATAATATGAACCCTCACAGCAATTGTGATGATGCTCACTTATGAAAATGTACAGATTTGAATTTAAGATTTTCAGGCACAAAGATTAAAGGCAGACATATTAAAGAGTTCCCAGAGCTGTGGGTGCTCAGCACCTCTCTGATAATGAGGATTTGGTTGTTTACTTGTTCTATTATACTCCTTTCACTATCTAATCCTATCACATCATTGTCTAGAGAAATACTCAGATGGTTGGTTCCTTTACTGTTTTATACAATTGGGGATGGTGTCACCACACAGTGAGAATAGCCACAGAATGCTGTTTTTCAAAGGCTTACACTCACATTTACACAACATTTTCTCACTGGATCATGAATAAATAGTAAGATTATTCTTACTATTCTTACTAGTTTGTTTTCCTATTGATGGATAGTTGCTGCTTGGGATATATATATTTAGGATTATCTGTGATATTATGCAACTCTGCTAGTGAAAGAAACATTATTGTATCCTTTTTCTGTACATAGTTTTAGTTGTATGTCCAGGTAATTAAGATGGGGAAACTACTAAAGCAACCAGACTCTTACTAATTTCACAGATTGTCTTTGGAGAACAGTGGAGTGGAACAGAAAGTAAAAATACCTGTTTATATAAATGGAAATGAAAATGGTGTAATTAATATCAGTTTTTAACTACTCATGGTAATGAGCAGACAGGACTATTTTTGTAAATCAAAACCATGTTTTTCTTGAGTGTAAAACTGAGTGTAAAAGAACCTTTCCTATTACCTTCTTTGTAGTACATCGTATCTACCAAAAGGAGTTTTATATCAATCAGCCAGCATAACAACAGGGAACAAAGCAACACAGACCCCCTTATGCATCTGATGGAGATTGCTTTATTGTAGAAATTACACCCTTTTTATACCTTTAATCTCTACCTGACATAACTGAAACCAAATTGAGACCTAAAAGAATTTAACAGAAGAAGGGCACCCATTGGCTGACTCAGCTGCAGTGCTGCTGTCCACACATTCTAACATCCAATCAGCTTCCCGCTCATGTGCTGTCCACACATTCCTCAGCCAATCACAATCTCACTCCCAACTGTCGCTCAGCTGACTGTCTCCTCACTCCTAATTGCCTTTCACCCCTCAACCGACTTTCAGCTGTGCCTTTCCCATTGGGCCTTCTGGTAAGCATAAGCTGTAACCACTTTAACAATTATAACCTGATATCCTGCAAGCCAGTATGTCTTTAATTCTTTGATTTAGAAAAATTATTAGAAGAAATAAATGCCCTCTAGACAATTTATAAATGAGAACTTTCAGTTTTTTGCACAAGTTTGATGAATCATAGAATACATCCTCACTGCTTGAGTAAGAAAAGTCTGGGACAGTGTTCAGAGAAAGACTGATGTGACTTGGAGAGGTGAGTCTGCTGCTAGGTGCTGATTGCCCGTTGTTTGATGGTTGGTTGGTGACGGAGTCAGAATTCCAGTCAATTCCTCTACAGGTGCCACAGGCAAAGATGAGGATTGCTGCTGTGACTGGAACTGAGCCACTTCTGGAGGTGTGACTGCCAGGGACAGCACTGTGCTGGTCATTGCTGCTAAAGACTGGGCTAATAGACTGTGGCAAGGGGGTATACAGTACTTATAGCAATCTATAGCAACACCAGGCAGTGGGATTAATTTCATCTTTCCCCACCAAAATAAGAAAGGCCTTTTTGATGCCCAAACAGGGACATGAGGAATTTGAGATAAGGACAGAGGAAATGGTAATGGACAAAATATGGATGAACAATGCTAGAGGGGGAAGAGGAAAATGATTGTAGAGCATTTTGGTAGTTGTAACTGTAGTGAAGGAATGAGGGAAGTATTGCCTGTAACTTTTGTTGGTGTTGATGTAATTTTGATTTTGGTGCAGGGAATTCTTTTGGTTTATATAAGTGAAGTTTGTGATGAATGTGTATTTTAATGATAATTCTTAAACATACGTTACCCAGAAGTGAGGGATGGAATGTGTTGGGTTTGCTGGCAGAGGCAGCATAGTGTTGGTGACATGAAGTGGGTTGTTTATTTTGGTGGGTTTGGGTAGCTGTGGATAGAGGCTACAGGGGTGGCTTCTGTGAGGAGCTGCCAGAAGTTTCCCCCATGTCCAGTATAGCCAATGCAAGCCTACACAGTGCTAGCACCTCAGGGATAATGTATTTAAGAAGGGGGGGAAAGCCTGATTATGGGTTTTCTCTGGTGGTCGTCCCTGTTTCCATCTCAGGGAGGGCAGAGTTTGGTTCCACTAGTCATCTGGAACTCCCTGATGCTCCTTAATCTTTCTCCCTCCTCTTGCAGTGCTGCCACCAGTGTGATCAGATCAGTCTTCTTGGCCACCGCTGGCTTCACTGCTCCCATGCTGCCACCCACTCCCTGGGACAGGCTCTGGCACCTGGGATAGCAATGGGCGGCAGCGTGTTCCCACGGCAGCTCTGTCCAGGGGCCACAGCCATTCTGCCGAGTGCCTAGGACATGGCTTTGTACCGTCCTGTTGGGAGGGTGCCAGGTGGTGCCCAGGAGTGCCTCTGGACCTGCGGGGGGACACATGGATAGACAGTGTTGCCCTGCTTGGCACTCCTGTAGCGAGCTGCAGGGAGTGCCCCTGGCTGTGGGAATGCTATGAGCTCATAGATAACCAGAGAACCTGCAATTTTCGCTTCCCAAAGGTGCGGTGAAAATAACTTTGTCGGTCTGTAAGGAATTATTTTAAATGTGTAGTATGACACCACAGACATCTCAGACAACACTCATACTAAATGTGCTGCTTCACTGTTTGATGTCATTAGCAGACAATGGTTGCCTTTTCGCTAGTATATGTGAGTCTGGTTTAATTATTGCAAAAGGAATTAGTGCCTAGTGCTTTGGTGCCCCTCACAAAGTCAGTGCTTGCTTGACACACTTGAGAATGCAAGGTGAGCCGCATCTGTTCCAGGATGGGACAAAACATGGCTGTGGCCGTTCAGAGCAGCTCAGTGAGAAGTTGTGACTCAGGCATCCTCTGAATCATATTGCCCCTGAGCTGTAGCATTGCACAAGTGGGGAGTGTGCCATCAGACCCTGCTAGATGGAGCACGTTCCTTCCTTCATGTCCAGCCAGCATCCTGTGCTGACACAGAAGGGAGGAGAATGACAATTATCTTTGCTTCTGACCCAAATTCCCCCCACTTCTCCACTTGCTCACGGAAGGAAATAATTTCTCTTCAAGGTTGGCTCATTAATTTAGGGTCCTTAGCACAGCCTTGAGGCAGGGTGGCATAGAATGCAGGAATGCCTTATTACTTCCATGCGGAACTCTGTAACCTTCAGATGCCCAGATGCAGTTTATCTGCTCATATGTAGGTATGACATTCTACCCACTTGTCAGCTCTGAAACTAATGCTTGTTCCTTGGGCACTCACTTTTTATCCTATAGGAAGCAAAAACTGTTAGAGAAGATAGCAACACATACAAAAACACACTTTTGTCAGTTAAATTTAAGAACTAAGACTAGCATAATCAAATAGTCAATCAGCTAATTAAGCTCTGCAATGACTGCTAACAGATTCAGGCAACAGATTTGGAGATGAACAGTGATTTACCTGTAAATAAAATTGAGATTAAAGTACTTGTTAATATTAGATCAGCTAGCAATGCAAAGGTCCATTATTCTTGATGTCTGAAGAGGTTAATGATTCTGGTAGCCAACTAGGAATCAAACACTGAGAATTCCCAATTTGGTAGCAACAGCAGTTCTTTGTGAAGCCTGGCAGTGAATAGCATTTTTTTAATTTGTTGATTTTTGAAGAAGGAGAATCTATAGTAAATATGATAGTGTGTGTTGAAACAGGTTATTTCAGTGTTAAACATCTATACTTTTCCAGTGAGATCTTCAGAGGACTTTACCTGAACCTGAACTTTATTAGCACTGAAGTTACCTGTACCCTTTGAAGTTGTACCCAGGTACTCGATGTGTAACAATTTACAGCTGACTCAGAGCAACTCTGCAAAAAAACAAAGTGACTAATCTCTTTGTAGAACTGAGGCTTTGCAACTTTGCTCTGAGTCATCACGACAGCTCAAAGTGCATTGACTTAGTGCAGAAATAGATTTAAACAGAGTATTCAGTTTCAGAACAAATATTATTCTTGTCCTGTCAGCGTGACCTCATTAGCCCTATTTTACAGCAAAGTGTCACTGATACAGAGGGTAATTTCAAATCTCTAGAAGGCTATCAAAGTGGAGCTCGAGAAGTTAAGGAAAAATATGGATGAAAGAAGGAAGGCAAAAATATTTTCATAGCAATTGAGAGTGTCACACAAAGAGTGTGGGAGCAGTCATTTGCCTAGTAGAAAGAATGGAAGGAAAAGAATAAAATGGGAATTGGTGGCATTAGAATGTGTTGGGAAGAGGTAAGGGAGATCTTTAGAAGTTTGCCTGTTCTGAACATATTTTAGCCACCCTTAATTATTCCTTCACATTCTGAGATCAAATAAATAAATAGTAACATTAATCCTATGTTATTTGGCAATTCTCTTTGTGTTACAAATTTATGGTCCTCTTATCTTCATGCTGCTATCTTAAAGGTAAATATTAGTACAAGCCAGAATCTCTTCTGAAATGGATGAGTGGTTTGTGACTGTGTTTTCCAGAGCTGCTTTACCTCAGTGTAGCAGGAGTTCAGGTCCACCACTGGGTCTGTGTAGTAATGCCCAATATCCATGCACAAGACACCTTCACTAGGGAGCAAGTATTTCAGAACAAAAAAGAGCATTCATACAAAGCTTAGAGACATAAATTATGGATATCTAAATTAATAGATTTAGTCATCAGATAATCAGTGGTAGCATTGAGTACATTATAGAGTTTAAGTTAATAATTTGGTTTCTTACACATACATTACTACATCTCTGTAATTAATATATGTATCAGTATTAAAAAATATTTTTATAGTAATAGTCTCATTTAGTGTCTCATTTCATACAGGCTGCTATTGTGGGAATAGTATATAAATATAACGAAGCTTCAGAAATGAGCAATGTCTTGTTCTTTGAGTCACAAAATTAGCAAGAGGTAACATGTTCATTACTTTAATGTTAAGAAAGAATGTTAGTTTAAATGCTTTTTTGCTTGAGGAAGGATCATGTATTATCTCAGAAACTGAGCAGATTTGGGCCTAGTCTGTACTTGAACGGAAGATGTGTAACAAAAATTCATCTTACCACATGAAAGGATGTCCATGTTTGGGTGGGTCTGATGGTTATCGCTGAGTCAGTCTGCCAGTTGTGCCTGCTCTAGTGTTAAGGAAGCATTTCAGTGCTGGAATTGGATCCCAGATCTATTCAGTGGTTAGGGTAAATTAGGATCCACAGTGTGTGGCATTGCATTTAGGAAAGCTTTTTGTCTTAAATTTTCAGCTGTATTCCCATAGCAATAGGAAATGTGCAAAGTTTCACAGTGGGATACAGTATTAAAATAACGTAAATATAGGTCGGGTATTGTTAATGATTGATACCTTTCCTTTCATCTTCAGCATAAGTCAGTAGGAGAATATGGTCCCCATTACAGTTTCCCTGTCTGCTGATTGCTTTTGTCCTGGTTTAGGGCAAATTTGAGAGAAAACTCCCAATGCCCCCGCCTTCTCCCCCCCACCGGCCCCCTGGAAGCAAACCCACATGGCCCCTTTCTCCACCCCTCAACCAGTTCTGGAAGAGATTTCTCTGTAAGAAGTGGAAAAAAACTGTTTATTTCACAGGCAGAGCACTACCCAGCACAAGAATGAACAATATCAAATTACAAAACCTCTCGCCCTTCAGAAGAGATGACAAATTCAGAGGGTCTCCCTCCTGTGGGTGTTGGCTCTGTTATCAGTCCCTGTGGTGCTGGAAAATGCCGCTGCCCAGGCTGGGCTCCCGGTAGCCCACGGGTGCAAGCTCCCGGTGCTCCCCCGAGTCCCCAGTCCAGAGCAGGTTTGATCCGTTCCAAGGAAAAGGAAATAAAACAGTCCAGGAAGATCTCTCACTTTGGCTAGTTGAAAAGCCAAGGCGATCTGTCCTTTGTTGTCTGTGCTGTAGACAAAACCCTGTCCCAGGATGCGGGGGGAACAAGTACAGTCTCTGATAACAGACTCGGTGCTTCTTCTCCACTCACTTTTACTCTTAGATGAAGTTTTAAGGATACAAAACCTATTTCTGGGCTAGATGGATGAATGGGGATACAATTTAACATCACAATCACCTCAGGCCAACTTTGTTGCTCACAGACTTTTTACCTGTATAAAAATGTAGATGAGAATTGATAAAAACTTTAAAAAAATAAGTAAATGTTCATTGTATCACATCTACAATACAAATTTAATACACAATACAAAATGATGCTTTAAATGAGCTGAAAATAAGGAATTGTAGAAAACTGAGATGAGACGATAAAAGGACAGTAATGGCAGCACTTACAAAAATTTGATGGCATTTGTACAGAATGAATCAAAATTTATTCAGTCTGTTAGTTCATACTAATACAAGACAGACCTTTACAAGGACAGTATAATTATTGCACTTTTGAAATTGCATTCTTTCGGAATCAAAATTTCCTCTAAAACTGACAATTAGGATATGATGTAAAATTCACCTTTGTGGATACGCACTTTTAGAACCAGATTATGATCACAAAATTATAATTGTTTTTATGAGATTGCATTTATTTTTTTCTTGTTTTTCCACAGCTTCTTTGGAATCCATAAGATTTAATTTATGTTGATGGTTTGCTCTGTCACTGATGCTATCAACCTGTCACACACACAAAAATGGAGAGAATAATTTAACATTGACATTGCTGAAGATAAAAGGGGAAGTTAATTATTGAAACTTGGGAAAATAAAATTTGCATGGAAAATTTCAATATTAAATAATTTTCTCCATTCCTGTTTATTTTGCTGCTATTGATTAATTCAAAACCCTTTTATCTTTATTCAGAAATCTTATGTTCATACTCAGCTGAGAAACACATCATCTGCTGTTTCATTATGGTTCTCTGTCTTGAAAACACCTTTTCAGTCCTTGTCAGAGTAAATGCTCTATTGTTGGATCCATGAGACATCTGGCCATGCCAGTACGTCTAGGTCCAAAAAGCACTCGCTTTGGAGGAATTTGGCTTTTAGTTACCCAAGACTCTGACTACTGTGATCCAGAAAGCTGCTGTCTCTGGAAATTACCCTGTTTATGAACCAGTGTTGAACTTCTCTTTAGATTAGAAGCCAAAAGAAACTATAATGGATAATTACAAGGTCTGCAAAGTAGTTTGCCTTCTTGTGGGAATAAGATTTAAATGTCATTAATAAAGTTAACATTACTATCTATCATGAATCTGAAGATTTAAAAAAACAGGACAGTGTTTCATAACAGCTTTGGGGAATAGTCTGACAAATATATCTGCAATTAGGGATCATTTCCTGACAGCTTTGGTGTTTTCTGGAAAGATCTTGTAATATGATGTTGATAATGAGTTGCTGGATTATATTCACACTTAAATCACTTAAACTATCTTTGCCTCTCATGTGGAAAAAGAAACAAGGTATTTTCAGAGGTGTTTTGATGTGCTTCCAAATTTGGGGAGTGAAGGAACTTGCTATAGAGTAGAAGAAATGTTACTTTGTGTGGTTTTTTTTTTTCATAGACCATCTTATTCTGTTTCATGGAAGAACTGACAGATTAGTTTTCAAATGAATCAGATAATATTCTGCAACAATATCATGTCATGTTATTTTTTAAATCATCACATGTTGGAGTAATGAATAGGTACAGAAAACAGACAACTGCTCATATTTGCATGGGTAACCTTGAAGCAGGGAAATTAAGAGTTAAACATAAAGAAATGCTTGACTAAAAGAAGGGGATTGACAAAAACTATACCCTGCTCCATAACAGCAGGGAAAAATCGAGACTGCAGGATAAGATAAAGAGCTAGAATACACAAACAGGATGCAAAGACAAAGACACCACAAGATAAAGAGATTCCTTGGACCTGGAAAGAACGTATCAAAGTCCAAAAGGTGATCAAAGGACTGAAAGAGGCCTGCACAAAGAGACAAGGTGAAGAGTTCAGCTAAGGAGAAAATTGCTGACCTTATCCCAAAGACCCTCCAGACAACCACTGAAATGACCAATGTGCAGCTGCAAAGAGGCACAGAGCTAATTGTAATATGGAGACAGGCGGGGCTAGGAAATGAATATGTATTAGGCATATTGTGCAACCCTAGTTCGTAAAAAATAAAAAAAGAAAGCCAAATCTCAAAAAGTGTGCATGCTTTTCAGAGGAAATATCTCCCATGCACCTCAGTGATGAATAAATTCATACCTATTCATATAATTATTCTGCGAGTTATAGAGTTCTTTTTCTATCCACATATCAACCTAAAATATGTGTTTAATTGCAATAATCCTCAAAGTTCTTGTAAAAAACTATCATATTTCTTAGGTAAACATGCATGCTATTTTTTAATCCAATTATTAATATAAATATTTTTGCTACTCACAGAGTTATTGAAGTTCTCTTCTTGTGTCTACACTCCTCCACTAGAGCTGCTGGGACTGATTTGCTGCATGGCACAAGCACTGCTATTTTGGAAGTCAGAGCAGCCTGAACTGGGAGGCTGATTTGGAGTCATGTGCTTCTGCAGTCCAGAGCAGGTTTGAACAGATACAAGGAAAAGGGAAAAAAGCAGTCTGGGGAACTTCTCTGTCTCAGCTAGCTAAAAACTAACTAAAAGCAAAGGAGAGGTCTGCCCCACTGTCTGTCAGTGCTGCAGACAACACAGTCCAGGAGCAGGATGCGGAGGAGTGAGTGCTCTTTCTCAACACAAACTGCACGTGTCTTCTTCCCCTGCTTCGGTCTCAAAGCCAGTCTTAAAGGTTTAAAATTTATTATGTAACATAAACAGAACAGGCTACTGGGGATACAAGTATCGTAAAGTCACCCAGGACACCTACTCTGTTAAACTTCAGATAAGAACTGTATTTTTCACAAGCATCTTCTAAAACTTTTTACACCCATAGATGTTTGCTTATTTTAAGTCTGAACTTGTTTGTCTAAAGTCTTATGCAAAAATTGGTGCACTCATCACTTTCATAGCTGTTGGTATGTTTTTGGGCTTGCTGTTAAATCTACAGAATGCTAAAATAATTGGTTGTGGTCTGTCTGTACAAATTAGAATGTTTGTGCACATGTAAAAATTGATGCATGAAAATATTAAGATGAAATTATATTTAGATGTTAGCCCTAGATATTTAGACTTGTAAAAAGGAAATATAGAGGTTTTGGTAAGTGGCTTTCTTTTGTCTGTGATCCCATACATTTAGGGTTTAATTTGAAGATGATAAAGGGTGTTAGAACCTGCCTGTTCAAGCAGAAGCAAATTAGAGTACCAAAGATTTATACATTTCTCTAAATTTTAAAGCATCTAACAGAACTATTCTTCTGGCATGCCATAAAGGGCGAGAATTTGATACTTCGGTAGTATCTTTAATGAGACTCCTCTTGAGCATTACCTGACCAAAAGGTGCTAACACCCTTGACTACACGACTATCCTGGCTTGTTCTTTAAATATTTGTAGGGATTTCACAGGTGATAAGCTGACAGCCAGGAATGAGATTCTAGAAATGTATTATTTGTAAACTTGTGTCTCACATGCAAGAACAAGGTTTTTTAGGAATAACAGCAGGCACTGAGTTCATGAGTCAATAGACTGGGCAGGAGTGCAGCACACTACAGGCATGGGACAGCAGCAGAGCACTCCAGACATCAACTGCTTGCTGTGGCTTTGTAAAATATTTCAGAATTTGCAAGGTAACTGAATCTAGAAGCACAATTTCTTAAAACCAAAAAAGTCTCTTTTTTATTTACTAAAAAGTGGACATTTACACAAAGGCAGCTCTGGCACAACAATATTTTTATCTACCATTTCCAGTGGCTGTATAACAATAAAGTAATGAGAAACACGCTAGTTAAATTTCCCTAGAACCCAGTCTGGTGTTAGTGATGCATATACTCCCAAACATAAATAATTATATAAAAGATTGGGAAAAGTCGTAATTGTGAAAATATGTTAACAATACATAAACTTGTAAACTCTCTGGGAAGGTTTTTATCCAGGAAAAACTGCAGTTGAATGGTTTTCTAATCTTCTATAGACCATAAATATAAATTGCTAATAGATCTACTAAAATTAATATAAACTAAACTGTAGATAACTGAACTAAGATTAATATAAACAATATAAATCAACAGAGATCCTTGATTTTTCATTTCCTTTTAGGTTCTATGTAAAGATGGACAACTCTAATTTTGAGAGGGTCATGTTAGGGAGCTCCTATCTCATATTCTGTGGATGTCTACAGAACCCAGCACTAAAACTTTATAAAGTGAACTTAATTCACCAAGCTGCTGTGCTCAGCTCAGACATGCTGGTAGGATCAATCCCTTCAAAACCTTTAAATGTATTTTACTGCTAATTACTTTTCCAACAGGTCAACTATATCAAAGCACTATTTGTCTAACAGTGAACTAAAAAAGTAATTTATTGTCAATTGATAGAAAAGAATGGCATTTCAAATGCTGCATTTATCTTGCATTCAATCCCTGAAATGAAAAATGTTATATTAATGTATATTAAACATATTAAGTGTTATACTAATATGTTTATAATTGATAGAGTAGAAAATACTTGTATCTCATCTTGAGGAAAATTGGATTTTTGTTTTTGCAGAAAGAGGATACAGGTCCCTAATTACAATAATATACTTTGTCTTTCTTCTATCCTATTGGCAAGTAATGATCATTTTAGTTTTCATACAATTTATTAACTTTTAAAATATCATTTGTTCTATTACTGAGAGTAAACTGTTGTCTTGGTTTGAAAAGACAGGTCTGCTAAGGAAGGCAAAAACCTTCCTTGAAATGGAAAAATGTAAACCAAACACCTCCCCTGCCCTGTAATTATTATAATCTTGAAATCAAGGGGCTCTCAGGAAAAAATGGGAATAGGAATAACAGTTCTTTACTAGGAAAATTAAAATAAAAATGCAGTAGTACACAAAAACCCCACTGACAGTCAGAATACAACCTGACATCCTGTTGGGCAGGGTGTTGGTAGCAATCCAATTAAAAGGTGACTGCAGTCCTCCTGGAGAGACAAATGTGGTTCTGTTGAAGCAATGATCCTGTAGAAGGGTACAGTTTTCCTCTGAAGGTCCAGTGGTGTAGATGGGTCCCGTTCCCTCTGGGAATCCAGTGGAGAAAGGCTGCCTGTGGTGTTCTGAGTCTCCAATTGTATCCAGGTAGGAATGCTTGGCCCCTCCCCCTGGGTGGAGCATCTCCCAATGGGATGATTAACAGAAGATATCCCCCTGGAGGGAGGATTGGTTGTGGAAGAGATAAAGAACACTGCCACACCGGGTTTTAACAGTGGGCCCATTAACAAACTATATCCCCCTGGAGTTATGAGGGATGGGTCAGGGAAGTGAGAAAGAAAACTGCCCCACCTGGTTTTAATAGATGGTAATAGACTATATACTTTTGGTTACATCTTGCATTGCAACCTAAGACACTGTTTACAGTTAAAATCTTTAGGCTAAAATCAGTTGTATTTTAATAACTACTTTTTGTGATTAACTGTAAATAGTGGCTTAGTGTAAAAAGTGTTACATGTTTCTTGAAATACTTTTTCCTTTTTTCTTTGCTAAAGGTGTATCCTTGGAACTAAACTGTGTATTTTCAGTTTTGAAAACTAAAACATTTTATAGATTTATTCACTGTGTATTGATATAGGTAGGAAGAAAGAAATTATCATTGTATTTTCTTGCCTGTCTTTTCTTGAAAGGGAAATAAAATTATCTGTGAAATTATGACATTTCTAGAGCATAGAAATTCATAATTCTTGATTTTTTTTGAAATTTTGTAGCAATTTAGCAGGAACAGTAGGACTAAATAAAGTAAATCTTATGATATATGAGGAATAATATTTCTTGACTAATTAGTCACAAGTGTTTGTTCTTCGTCAGCCATGATTCTTTATGATCTCCTATTTAAATGTTACCTGGGGTGGTATGGTTTCATTTCAGGATCAAATGGGGTAGAGTGCTTTCAGTCTGTGTGGGCAGACTTCCAGGAGAAAAAATATACATGCACCTGGTAGTACTGGATGAATTATTTTGCTTACAGTGATTCTGTTCCATCAGTATGTACAGAATGGTATGGCTGCTCACAAAGTAAGGTAGTTAAAAATTCCAGGAGGAGAATGTGTCTATGGCTAAAATATTTAAATATTGAACATTTTAGTGAAGTTACTACACATCTGAATGAATAATACTTGTATGTGCAATGTGCTGGAGTACTCATAGAGCAAGCAGTAATTAATTTTCTTCTAATACATCATTTTTAAAGAGGATGATTAACATCAAAACTTCCCTACAGGAATGCACTGTATTTTTGTTACTGAAACCAGGCTGCAAGACCCAACTCTTGTGGCTGGGTCTGGGTGTCTGTCCAACCCCCAGCTCTGCTGGCAGCAAACCCAGATTGACATCCCGGGAAAGGACATCCCGCCGTCTGGGGGGTCCCAGGCAGTTTCCAGCCAGGGGTAACCCTTAGGAGCTTAGGAAGAGGCTTAAGTGATCAGCTCTTTAGAAGGGATTTCTGCTCTTGCAGTGATCAGCTCAGATCAGCCTAGCCAACTCTGTTCAAGGGCTACCCCAGCCACACATAGACAAGAGATGGGAGACCATGTGGTGTTCTGCAGAAAGTCTTTAATGCAGGCTTCAGCAAAGGGGGCCAGTGATGTTCTACCACTGATCTGGGCAAAAGCTGGGGTTTTTATAGGTAAGGGAAGAATTGGAAAAGGGGCCGATGGTCTGAGACTGGGGTAAGATGACCAATAGTTAACAGGGAGATAACATGGGGTCCCAAAGCAGGAAAGGGTCCACAGCTTAGTTACCATGACTAGGCAATTTTGTCTTATTTTAGGGGGCAGATCTGCAATGAGGAAGCCTAGGAGAGGACTAGGCTTCCTCTACACCCAACAGAAGATATTTTCAGTTTAATTTAAGACAAAGCTCTGTAGGAATTACTGGGTTTGCATGAATGCAAATTTGTTGAGTTGGAATGCAATACACAAATGAAAGTCAACAAAAATTTAACTGCAGGTCTGATTTAGATTCTTAGCTGCCAGAAATGCCATTTCTTTAGGGGTTTTTTGTTTGGTTTTTTTTTTTTTTTTGTAAAGATACACTGGTAAATGAAAGATAACAGATTATGAGTTAGTCTTGAAAGAAAGAAATAAACAAGACCATTTTACAAGTGCAGGTGGGCTTTAAGGAACAGAAGCACTAAGAATCTTCTGTTTGTCTGTTAATGTCCTACTACAGCTAACACAGCAATGAGATTGCTCAATGCCTCGCTGCTGCTTCCTGCAAGATGAAAATTCACTGTGCTCCAAGAGCTAGATGAGGCAACAGGTCTGTGATTCCTTTAATTTTTAATCCAGAAATATATTTCATGAGAAAAACATACCCTGTATTCACTTCTGTATCTAGATTTGAACACCACCACATCCATAATCTCTATTCCTAGTGTACTTTTTTTCTAGAAGGCTTTTGGCCAGGTGTAACAATCCTTTCAATTAACTTTCCTATTTGAAAGTAATTTTTGCTTTGAGCTCTTACTGATGATTCCATTCAGTAAAAAAATCCTTCTTCTACATTTAATAAATTGTTGTTAACAAAAAAAACCCCACAAAGATCTGCTATAAATAAATCAATCAAACTTTATCAATAATAGTTTTTATTAATAAATTTGCAAAAAATAAGTTTTGGGACAGCCACAATTAAAGGCAACGCCGAGCCCGGGATTGGTGCTGGGTGAACCCTGAACCAGTCTCTGCCGCACTGATTCCCCCAAGTTCACAAACTGTCTATTGGAGTGCCGAGTTTTATACAGTGTTTTTGGCCTGAGGCCATGCAGTCTCAGTTTTTTTCTCCGTGATATGTTGTTACATATTCCGAATTTAGATGTTGAACTGCTGATGAGGTTTCTGGGAAGGAGATTAGGTCTGAGTGGATTTTCAAGAAGCAGTCCGTGAGATGTAGAATTTTTCTGAGATTTTCCCAGAAGGGGATGAAGTCTGAGTGGTTTTGTTTTTTTTCTTTCGGGAGACGACATTAAGATGTTGGGTTAACCGAATCAGTATCATGGACTGATCACTGAATCATTAGTGGCTCATCTCCTCTGAGTGGATTTGTCTCTCTCCTGGTGCCTATTTTGTCCTTCAGCAAACAGTCTTGAGCTTTCTGGCGTCTTTGTGGCAATCCTTCGGTTGCTCAAGTTTTATGCATTGTGCTTGAGTTAGCTTTGTGCACTATACACACAAATTACATAAAAAAATACACATATTACAGATCACTTCAAAAAGATTATTTTAGAAGACTGTTTTGCTGACTATCTACTGTGTATTCTGTGTATACTCTGAAATTTTCCTTATGCAGTTCCCTACATGTGGGGAAAAAGTACAAAAGGGGGCAGGTCGCTGGGGAAGTCCGAAGGCAGAGGAGTAAGTGAGGGGTTGCGACCTTCCCCCCGCCGTGGCCGCACAAAAAATGGAAACAGAGTTCAGAGAAGCTAAAAAACTGCTTAGCATTATCGTTAAACGAGGTGAAGCAGCCAAGGAAAAGGACCTGGAAAAGCTCATTATATGGCCTAAAAACCATGGGCATTTAGCAGTGCCCCCACTGCTTTTTGCAGTTAAGAAATGGATGGATATAAGGGCTCTGATGTGGGAAACGACAATCACGGGAATGAGTAAAGATGTAGTAGCACTCAGTTCGATACGGAAACTTGTGTTGGATACCTTAAAAAATATGAAGGCAGAGTCCAGGGTCGTAGCCGCTGCCTTAGAAGCCACGGCGCGTCCTGAAACAGAAGTGCCACAGTCACCTCCTGCCACATCAATCGGCCATCTGGGTGCCTTTCTCGGGGTTGGGCACGTTCGGCCAGCGAAGGGGTTCACAGGAAAGCAGTGTAGCACTGTATCGGAACTTTTAAAATCTCAGCGGTGCTCTGGAGTGGCTGAGTCCCCGGACGTCCCTCTCTCCACCAGGCGTGTTGCTACAGTCAGCAGACAGGAAACCACCAGCAGGAGAAGAATCAGTAAATTTTAATGGTGCGTCTAAAAAAGATCTATTGGGGGCAACAACAAATAGAGCAGCTCGTGCAACAGCTGCAAGCTCAGACTGAGCAGACACTACGTACAGACAAAGTACAGCATTATCAAGAGAAAGCAGCTCTGCATCAAACACCAAAGCAGCAGGCAGAGTCTGTTCAGCTACGGTAGGATGTGATACGTCCTGAACTATTTGCTTCACTTTTGGAGACACTCTTAACACTACAATCTTACTTAAGTTCCAGCTTTACTACCCTGGAAGAAAAGAAGCCAAATTTAGATTGGTTTCCATCCGAACCAGGGGGACATGGGGGAGCACTGAGGTGTGCGCAGAGAACAAAGGCAGCCTCAGGGCAGAGGCAGTGCAGAAAAAGCTCCAAGGCCATGCTGAACAATTACAGAAGCAGTTGAGCAGAAACAGGTGGCTCAGACAGCTTCAAAGAGAGACAAAATAGCCAAAAAATCACGAACTATATGGTATCTAGTTCAAAATTCACCACTGTAATTAAAAGTTGATAAGCTGCAATGGTCACCGTTGTTAGCACCTGGCCCTGTGAGACTTTTCGTGTAACATCTCCTGCTTTTGTAAAATCACGCCCTTTTCCCTCTATCTGCAAACAACAAGAGAGAAACTGAGAGAAAGAACAGTATGTGTTAAAGTTAATTTTGTGAGTTTTTTTTTTTTTCTCTCTTTTTTTCCTCTCTGCAAGAGTATGTGGGGGATGTGAAGAAAGATAACAGCAACAGAGAGCAGCAGCAGGGCGGGCAGTCCACCCCCCAGCTCCCTCTCTAAGAAAAAGCATGGGATAATACCCAGTTTGTTAAGAAGTCATGATTCATTGGTTTTTCAAAATGTTTTAATATACCCTTTTAGAGTTAATTTTGTGTTTTAAGTAATTATGAGTTTATGCAGTTGAAGTTTTTAGAGTTTTACTAGAGAAATTACTGTGATTCTTTGAAAGTTTAAAAAAGCCCCTTTTCAAAAAAAGGTGTTTAAGATGAATATTAACAGAAGTTACCTTGCAATAATCAGCTTTAAAACCTAAGGTTAAAATATGGTATGATTTACAGATACTAAGAACACCTTCCAATTAATGTTATCTACAAAAGAGATTAGTGGTTTAAAAAATAATTAGTTAAGAGAACTGTACTGTACGAGACAAAGTTAAGTTAAAACATATATTACCTATTTGCATGTTTTTTCCACCATTTCAATAAGGTAATTTCAGTATGAGTCCTTTTGTTATATAAAACACATATAACTGCATATATACCAATTTGGATTTTGGATTTTAGTTTAAGAATTGGACTTGATGTTTCTGAAAAGTTCTACAAAAGCTGAATGGCAACTTGCCAAATCCTGTGTTGTTGAGGTTTTTCTCTAGAAAAGCTGCACTTTAAAATCCTAACCAATTTAAGCATATACTAGGCAAATTTCTGTTATGAATAAGTATTTTTAGTAACATTTGCAGTAATTGTGAATTATTCTCAAAGCTAGATGACATAGAATTGTGATGTATTTGTTACATTTTTATAATCTTTATAGTGAATCCATGTTATTGTTGCATTGTGTTTAAAAGGTATATATCAAACTTTTAGTTGCCTCTTTGTAGTAATAGAATAAGACTAAGTTATGATTTTATTTGATATGGATTAAGTGTTAATAGAATTAAGAAAAGTCAGGTTTTATTATGTTTAGGCTTGAATGTTTTTAAGTTAAGTTGTATAGATATTCTTTTAAGGTTAAGTTTTGTTATTTCCTTTTGTTATAATTAAATTTTATTAGGTTTAAATATTGTTTAATTTAAATTGTTTTATGCTTTATTGGAGACACTTGTCCAAACTGCATAGTTATTTTCCTAGTTGTGTTCTATCACAACTGAAACAGCTGTGATAGAACACTGATGAACACCTGTTTGTGGATAGAAGTGAATGCAGTCTGTGACACCCTCGACTTCATTGAGAGTTCTATTGGTTGTTGCAATCTCTGCAGTTTTTGTTTGTTAAAGCTTTCTTATTTTTCAGTGTTTCCAGAATTGCCATTGCTGAGGATCAGCTGCCATGGGGAAGGCTTCAGATTAAACCAACTGCTGAATGGTTTAATTGGTCTGGTACCTGAGGCTTCTGATCATTTGCTTTGTACAAATGCATTTTAACAGTTTGCTGTGCTGTAAGCATCTCATAGCTGCTACTATTGAGAACCTTGTTTTAGAAATGAGTTAAGAGGCATCTTTCCAGTTTAAAGCCTAAGGCCCTGGCCTTACACCAATTGCTGAATGTAGCTGATAAAATAAAAACCATCAAACAGTCAAAGCAAAGCCTGAATTAATTACAGTGTAATTATGTTAGAGACCCAGAAAAGATTAGCAACTCAAAAGGGGCTCGCTTGTTAGACTAAGAAAGAATTGAACTTAACATCCACAATGTTAAGTGAACTTTCAGCCGATGTGTATACGTCATGCAGTATTACAAAATCAAGCTGCAATTGACTTCTTGCTCTTAGCACAATGACGTGGTTGTGAAGAGTTTGAAGGCATGTGCTGTCTGAATCTTACTGATCATTCAGTTTCCATCCACAAGCAACTACAACAGCTACAGGATGGGTTACATGCCCTGAAAGAAGATACTGACCCCGTTGGAAGTTGGTTTGCCAGCTGGGGCATCACTGGATGGCTGAAGTCTCCTGTGCTAGAAGGGGGATGGACTTTACTTATAATGTTAATTGAGATAACAGTTTTAAGTTGTATGTTATGTTGTCTGCATAAAAGTATAGAATGAGTTGCATCCAAAGCCTGGTTTGTGCAAAAAGAGAAAGGGGGAATTGTTGGTATTATTTTATATATTAGTAAAGGCCTGTCTGCACAAACCAGCCTTTGGAATCAGTCGTGATATCAAAGGCTAAAGTCCTTGAAACCTTCCTGCAGAAGAGAGAGTAAAGCAAAACAATATCCTTGTGTACAGGAGAAAAATTGTAAACCTGTGTGTGTTAGCCCATGGACCCTGTAGAACCCTATAAAAGGTGTGCTAAAGATAGAAATAAACTGCGTTCACGTTTACTTGTGTGAAGAGTTGTGAATAGCTGGTGGTCTCTCAATACATACATAAATGTGAATATAATTTTTAGTTGTGAATTGGATCAGTGTACTAGACTAGTTTTTCACACAAATATGATGAAAAATTACAAGCACAGGAGGAGACTGTATCTTCTTTATTTGTACTGCTATGGTAAGAGTCTCAATGAATAGTATATAATATAATATCAAAATAATACACATTAACAATATCTTAACAATTAGTATCTTAATAGTAATCATTATCTACATTTGATAATGCTGAACAGCAGAAATAAAAACCATACAGAGCATGTTCTAAATAGGCGGAACCAGGGAGGGGACATGCTAAATACTTCTTGAAAAAGTTTGAATATGCATTAAACCCTCACAGCAGGAGGGGATAAAAAGAGTATACCAGGTGTGTTCCTGGCAACACTCCAGGGCACCTGGCCATTTTAACCCTTTGCTTTATTTCCTTTGTCTCCTAATTGTCTTTTGTTTGTTTGTTTGTTTGTTTATATTAAACTTTTTATAATTTATTAAGTGAATCTCGTTTTTCACAAAAGTCTGTTTAGGAAGTAAAACCATCCTGATTTAAATTGTTATTCTTTCCTGAATACAGTGGGTTTTACCTGCCTTTGTGTGAATTGAGCTAGTTCTCAAGATTTCTTTAAAGAATTTACTCTCCCTGGTATGAACACAGCACAGCTTTAGGAAATTAATCCAGATAGCTGTAAGCCAGCTGGAGTTGAATCAGTAGTCCACCATGTATTTTGACAAATCCTCTTCTGAAGTGTGATCTGAGTTGTAAAAAGTAGCCCTGATGAATGGTGTTGCACAGCATAGTAGCAATTTCCCTCTCCATTTCCTAGTTTTGTGCTCACATTTTCTAACAATCAAACCTAGGTAATTTTTGCAGGTTCTCAATTTATTTGGTATGCCATTCTTCTCATTCGTAAGTAATATTCAGCCATCAAGTTTAACTTGTGCAGCAGGACAATGCAGCTTTGATATTCAGCCATTTTCATCCTAAACTAGCTGTGTACTCGTTAAAAATGGTTCAGATTCATTACTTTGTGGCCATTCAGGTCAAGCTCCAGCCAGCTGTTCAGCATGGTGGTGAATCTATGTGTGGGAGAGGGGAACCTCAGGGGACAGAGGGAGTTACATAGGTTCCTTTAAAATCTGGCATTGTAAACAGAGCTTGGTTCTGCATACTGATTTCATCAGGCAGCTAATGTCAACACTTGACATTTTCAATCTCTTTCTTTTATGTCACATTAGTGGAAAGTGACCTGTTGTGTTTGTGGAAACTTTTGAATCCCACAGGAGAAGGATCACTCGCACCATGGCAGTCTGCCAAGTACAGCTTGTTCTGAAAACACAGTGCTGAGAAGTTGCATTATCAACTGAAGCTCAGTGTCAGCTTAGCAGGAGGTAAATTAGGCAGGTGATTAGCGAGTCATTATGACCAGCGAGGCCCCTAAGGTACACTGCACCTCTGCTGCCAGCTCTTCTTTCTACTTCTGTCTTCTCTCCACCTGTCCCTGCAGAGCTCAAAATGGGAGCCTTTTCTGTGCCAACACTGTGTTCAGCACATGTTCTGCGCACTGGCCATGCTCTATAAGGAATAGTTTCTTAAATTGCTGAGTTGTTCAGTAGTCATATGTTTTATTCCAGTGAGAACAAATGCTAAAAGTGTAAAAGACACTAATTCAAATTTTAATTTTATTTCTGCTATTCTACATCTTTGGCCTGTTTTATGAAATCAAAATTTTAGTCATAAATCCTAATATTATCTCAGAGTCTACTATGATAATAAATATAATCAATAGAGAACAGTAAAATAGTTTCACCAGTAGGAAAGGGAAGTAGCTAAAATAAGTGTCTTGCAGATGGAAAAGACATAATGTGTACTAAAAATACAAATGTGTTTTAATTGTTCCAAGTATTCCTGATTAGCAAGAACAGACTGAGGGCAGATTAGGATTTACATTAGGAGGTTTGAACTTGAGTAGTAGTAGGAAAGGAGTTACTTCAACCCACTTTTTAAAAGTGCTTACTACAGACAGATGACATAAAACAAATTGTCAGGCAAAGCAGAGTCATCTGACCTTTGTTCAAGATCCTAACATCTAAAACTTCTCATGGGCTTACTTTTACCTGCAGTCCTCAAATCTGTGGCTGTACTTTGTGGAATAAAACATAATTGCATATGGAGGATGTAGACTTTCCTACCAATGTGAGCAGTGAGACTCGCCCCAAGTCCCCCCCTGCTGCAGGATAACCACAATGGGTCTTCTCTGTACAAGTCTACACTATTGCAGCAAAGCTATACAGAGCTCTGCAGGCTTCACTGCCAAATGAAGCTTCTCCCGCCTTCCCTGTCGTGCTGGGAAAAGTCTGTGACTTACAAATCCCACTGAGGGGGCCCACACAATCATCTGCAGCCTTTGGTACTGCAAGATCAGGGCCTGAGTGAGCTGCAGACACAGTATGGGAAGGTGGCAGCTGTGGTAGAGGGCAGTGAAGACTTGAGTATGTGTTCATATGTTGTCTGTGGCTAAAATAAATTAGTAAATGCACTAGAATAAATTGTCTAAGGCAAGCAGATGTCATAACAATTTAGAGTTGAACAAATTTATATTAAAAGTCAATGTAAAATGAAAGTGCTATACATATGGAGTAGACTTTCAGAGGAAATAGAATAAGTATTTGTGTAATACAGACATAAATGTGGTTTATACATATTTATGTATAACCTTCAAGGCCCAGACAGAAGAGAAGAAAACCCTAATCAGAAAAGAATTATGGAGATTGGTGTATCATTTTAAGAAAAGATTGCTGGTCTCAGAATTGTTAGAAACAATTTTTACAGATTTCACTTGAATGTCTGACTCATAATAAGCAAATCAAAATTCACATGTGTTTTTCACTGACTATGTTAAGCCTTCTTGTACTGCTTGTTCCCATTTGTGGCAAATACTATAAACTATACATTTCAGTTTAAACATACCTTTGCATTATCCAATTTTTTCATGCTTTCCTAAATGAGGCAGTAAAAATGATCAAAATAAGTTGGTAAGCTTAAAGTAATGTTAGTGCATGGTTCATGCTGCAATTGCAAACACACTCTGTATGTCATTACATGGCTATAGCATATTGTCTACTAAAGATAGTTTTGGGGATCAGCATGAGTAAATATGAGGAATATTGTCAAAGATTAAAAAAATTCTCTTCTCTGAAGACTGTCCCTGGTGCCTAGCAGAATCTTCCAAAAAACACAAGTGCTTACAGGTGAGCAGATACTCCGTGGAGTTAGGGAGAGCAGAGTCTGCTCCTCATCTGTCTCAGAAGCGATGACTGCTGCGTTCGTTATTACTTTGAGAATTTATGTCAAAATAATATACTGGGAAGTGACAACTTTATAACCCAGAGGAGAAAAACAAAACCAAAAAAATATCTCCTAATGCTGAAAAATCAGGACTCAGTTCCAAACATTCAGTGATGTTCATTTGTATATATTTACTCTATATTATACTTAAGTTGCCACATGTAAAAAACTGATTTACCAAAATATGGATATGATCTAGTATCAATATCCAACTGAGATGGACAAAGACTCTTTAACCGTTTTAGGGTTAGAGTGTATGTTTATTAATAGTGCTGGGCCGATGTATTGGGTCACCCCTTAATACACACAGCCCCAAATACAGGTAAATACAGGCTTTTTATTTACAGAAATATTGAATACAAATACATACTCATAACTGTTGCCACCCACTCTCCGCTTCCTATGCTAATTAGGAAAAAAAGCAATTAAGCATGCGTAGTTTGTTCCTTGAAATGGGTTGGTTGTAATTTTATGAGTAGGGGTCATGAAAGGGAGAAAGGGATATGGCTCTTCCTCATTCTGACCTTTCTACATTTTCAATGTAAAGTGACAAATGGACCTTTGGCTGGGCTCCTAGTTTCATGTCTTCAGTGGGTTTCTGATTTGCAATTGTCTTATGTTCTTGAAGTCCCTTACCAGATTCTTTGTTTCTCATTATAAGCCCAGCTGAACAAGCAGAAAG